GGGAACTATTTCCTGGTGGAAGCAGTTTCACVAGGAATGGCAAGAGGATGACAGGCTACACAGTAACCACCATGGATAAGGTAATTGAGACAAAAACCTTGATTTCAGATGTGTCATCACAGAAAGCTGAACTGATTGCACTGACGAGAGCTCTAGAACTGAATGAAGGAAAGAAGGTGGACATATGGACTGATGTGCTTAGCACTGTTCATGCCCACGGAGCTATTTAGAAGGAACGTGGCCTGCTGACTGTTCAAGGTGATGAAATGAAGCATGCAGAACAGATCCTTCCACTCCTGCACAGTATCCGGAAGAGTACAGAGGTAACTGTTGTGCACTGCAGAGGTCATCAAAAAGGGAAAACAACCCCTGAATTGGGAAATCACCTTTTTGGTAAATCAACAGAAAGGGGTACAGGAAAAGACAAACTTGCAGTAGTACCACAGAAGGAGGTAGATTTGACAGGGTTTACTCCAAAATACGATCAGGGGGATCAAAAATTSATTAAGGCTCTTAAAGCTGAAATCAAGGAAGGTGAGTGGGCTGTTACCCCAACAAGGTCAGGTTGTACTCTAACCTCTGCTTCTTCAAGAAATAGCCCAGAGGAGCATGAGGGTACCCACTGGGGAACAGAAAATCTTTGAAAACATCTGAAGAAGGCAGTGGTTAGGAGAGAGATGACTGATATTGTACAATCTATAACAAGCAAGTGTGAGACCTGTTGTAGAAACAACCCTGACATGAGCAAGGGAGTTGTGTTAGGGGTGACGAAGGCAGGAGATCTCCCGGGAGACTATTGGCAAATAGATTTTGCTGAAATGCCTCGCAAGGAGGGATACAAATATGTACTGGTATTGGTTGACACTTTCAGTGGATGGCCTGAGGCTGACCCTGTCGCACCAACACAGCAAAAGAGGTAGTAAAAGCCTTGCTCAACCACATAATTCCAAGGTTTGGGGTTCCTCTGGGAATGTCATCGGATAGACGACCACATTTCATTGCAATGGTSGTYGGAGAAGTTAGCAGGTTTCTGGGACTTRYTTGGGACCTGCATACTCCATACAGGCCCCAAGCAAGTGGCAAGGTTGAGTGTATGAATGGAACCCTCAAAACCCAGATCAGTAAGATCTGCCAAGAAACTTCAATGGCTTGGGTTCAGGYCTTGCCTATGGYCTTGCTGAGAGTTCGCATACAACCAAGGAGGAGGGACAATATAAGYCCCTATGAAATCCTGTATGGCAGACCATACCAGATTCCACACATTCCAGGGGAAATCCATATGAGAGGTAAAATTGATTTGCAGAAATATTTAATGGCTTTGAGTTCCACTTTGCAGAAGCTCCAAAGATTCGTCGTGTTGTCCAGGCC